AATTGAACAATATATAGAGGTATAGAGGGAAGATGGGAGGGGAGGGGAGGAGGGATAGTAGGGGATAGGAAAGGTAGCAGAATACAACAGTCACTAATATGCCATTATGTAAAAATGTGAGTGTGTAACCGATGTGATTCTGCAATTTGTATTTGGGGTAAAAATGGGAGTTCATAACCCAATTGAGTCAAATGTATGAAAGATGATATATCATGAGCTTTGTAATGTTTTGAACAACCAATAAAAAATATATTAAAAAAAAGAGTATCCTGGGTTGTTGATTATAAGTAGAATGTGAATTTTAAAATGGAAGGCAAAAATTTTAGCTAATTAAAAAGCAATTAGATTGGTACCTACTTACCTAACTTTTAAAGTGTTCTTTTAAAAACTATATGACTTGAGGGGCTGCGGTTATGGCTCAGTGGTAGAGCATTTGCCTAGCATGTGTGAGGCCTGGGGTTTGATCCTCAGCACCATATGAAAATAAAATAAAATAAAGGTATTATGTCTAACTACAACTAAAAAATAAATAATAAAAAATAAAACAAAACATATGATTTGAAATGCTTTGGTAATACTGCTGTGAGAAGCCCTTGTCAGCAGAGTTTGGTATGTAAAGCCAGTGGTCAATGTGTGCTGCATTCTTCAGGGGATGTGCTTAGCATACAGAACAGGAAATGTCTCAACAGAGCCAGCATTCTTACTGAAAAGAATTTTCCATCCTCCTCCATTTGTGGTTAAGTTCTAAAATTGTTCCTGTTTCTTTAGTCTTCACAAACTCAAATCTTAATAATAGTTGAACCATTTTTTTCATGTTTTCTGATATTAAAGATTCCTATTTTAAAATGCATGTGTAATTTTAAATTTTTAAATAATTGAAAGTTTTTTAAAACCTTTTTTTAAAAAAAATAATTTTAGACTTACAGAAAAGTTGCAAAAATAGTAGAGTTCAGCAGACCTTTCACCCAGCTTCTCTAAATGTAAACTAATTATAGTATAATTTTCAAAATAAGAAATTAACTTTGGTATGATACTATGAGTTAAACTACAGGTTTGTGTTAGAGTTTCCACTGTTTGTCCTTTTTCTGTTCCAGGATCCATTCTAGGATCCCATGTTTCTTTTAGTTGTCAAATATTAATTTCTTGGACATGACAATTCTTTCATGACCTTGAGACTTTTGAAGGATACTGGTTGATTATTTTGTAGAACATCTTTCCATTGGGTTTCTCTGATTTCTCATGATCAGATTGAGGTTATACAGTTGTTGTCTGTTTTTTTGTTTTTGGCAAGAATATCATAGATGCTATATGCCTTTTTAAATGAATCATATCAGGAGGTAAATACTATATCGTCAATGTTATTGGTGGTAATGTTAGCTTTGGTCACTCTGTTCAACCAATTGGATGTCTCCATTGTAAAATAAATATTTTTCCATTTATAATTAAATAATATTTTCGTGGATATACTTCAAGACTACAAATTTTCTGTTTCTTCTCAAACTTTTAACATCCATCAGTAGATCTTTCTACTAAAATTATTAGTAAAATACTACAAATGTCATCTTCCTTCCCTGTCTTCTTCCTTTTCTTAAATTTGGACTCAGTGTATATATTTTTTATTTTGTGGGCTATATGCAATTTTATCATTTATTTGGTTTCTCAAATCAATCCAGCTTTAGACATTGGGAGTTATTTCAGGTTGGTTTCTTTAATCTTTCAACACATCCTTATTTTTTTTTTAAGTTGTAAATGGATAAAATACCTTTTATTTATTTTTATATAGTGCTGAAGAGCAAACCCAGTGCCTTACACTTGAGAGGCAAGCGCTCTACCGCTGAGCCATAATCCAGCCACCTTTTTTTTTTTTTTTGAATACTTCTTTTCTTCCTTACTGGCACTGTAAGATGCTCTAGGCTCTTGTATTTTCCCCACCTCAGCTCTGCAGTCAGCATCTTCTCCAGGTTCCCCAGTTCCTTATATTGAAGAATGGTATTTAGAAACGAAGGTCTAGGCACTTAGTATTCTTATTTCTTGGAATGTGATTGCATCTGAGCCCCCTTTTGTTGTTGTTGTTGTTGCTCATGTTGGGTTTTCCCATTAGTTTGTAACCCTGTATAACCTCCTTTTAGATGTTTATACTACTGTTTTATAAGAGGGTAAAATAAAAGAATTTTAAGAAAAAAGTTTTGTGATATTTCATACTACTTTTGCTTGTGAGTGTGGATAAGGTATTTGTTCTATAATCTCAATATTTGTTTGCAGCTGTTTTCTTACATATATTCTCATTTGATAACTTGAGGAGCCACCCATAGCTGATCCTTACTGTTTGAAGGGAAAAAAGTATAAAGACTTGGTTCTTTGATTATTTTGTATTTTCTTCTCTTTTAAACTTTTACTTGGGGAAAGGGAAATGGAATATCAGTAGGTGTTTATAAGTAAGTTTTGTTGAATATTAGTTGTACTCGTGTTGAACAAGATGCTTACATATATTGAGAGTAAAAATTGATAAAAATATAAATAGATATTGGCTAAATTATATTGTGTGCATGAACGGATATGTAACAGTCCCATCAATATGTACAACTATATAATGCACGAGTAAAAATGAGGGAAAATTTGAAATAAGAACACTTTGAAAATGATAATGTTTAAAGTTTATATTTTGAATGTGGCATCTTTTGAAGTAATTGGAACATATATATTTATTGAATACTTATTAATATTTAATGTTTAGGGTAAGAAAAGGTTGTTTTTAAACATTTCTTGTTGAAGAAAAACTACCATGCTATTTCACATCCAAAAATATTTACTGTGCTGAGGAGGTAGCTCAGTGCTAAAGTGCTTGCCTGCCATACATGAGGCCCTGGGTTCCATCCTTAGCAATACACACAAACACACACAATTTATTTATGCTCTCTTTCAGACACAGTGTCATCTACCAGCAATGATATTGAGGTGCTCAAAGCCTAAATATTTTACAAAGCAGAGTTAATAATGTGTTTTAAAAAGTTGCATTAATTCAGTTTACAGTTTTTAGTAATACTGAAGAACATAAAGTAAAAAATGGAAAGTTTCTTCCCCCAGTCATTGTAAATAGTGTATCCTTTACACCTTATTCTTCACAGATGCACATAGATAACACATTCTCATAAAAGCTTTCTAAGAAAATTGAGTTTATGCTCTCAAGTATTTTTCTTTCTTTCTTTTTTGGGGGTCGGAGGGTAGGGACCAGGGGTTGAACTCAGGGGCACTTGACCACTGATTCACATCCCCAGCCATATCTTGTATTTTATTTTGAGACAGGGTCTCACTGAGTTGCTCAGTGCCTCACTTTTGCTAAAGCCTTAGCTTTGAACTTGAGATCCTCCTGGCACAGCCTCCTGAGCCTCTAGGATTACAGGTGTGCACCTCTGCTCCTGACTCTCAAGTATTTTTCTGCAGCTTGCTTTTTTGTTTAACAGTGTATCTTTTTTACCAAGGTTTTTTTTTTGTTGTTGTTGTTGTTTTGTACTAGGGATTGAACCCAGGGGTGCTTTCCCACTGAACCACATCCCCATCCCTTTTTTATATTTTGTTTAGAGATAAGATCTTGCTAAGTTGCCAAGGCCTCACTAAGTTGCTGAGGTTGGCTTTGAACTGGTGATCCTCCTGTCTCAGCCTTCCCACCTGCAGGATTACAGGCATCTGCCACTATGCCCGGTTTACCTAGTTTTTAATAAAGTGAATAGCTGAGAATAAAAATGACAAGAATCCAGAATTAAATATATAAACAAGCATTAAGTGTTCTCATCGTGTGCGTGTATGCATACATGTGGTAACTGAGTGGCTGGATGTGTTAATTGGCTTTATTGTGGTGATCATTTCAACAATGTATACACATATCAAAACATCAAATTGTACACCTTAACTATATACTATTCTTTCTTTTCAATTATACCTCAACAATGCTAGAAAAAATAGTATCTATTAAGGGAGAGGCAGTCTGTGGGTTTTTTGTTTGTTTTAGAATTGATTGAGCTAGCAGTTATAGTGTAACCTTCCAAAAAGATTTTTAAAAAAAATTTTTTTAAGGTTGTAGATAGACGGAATGCCTTTATTTTATTTGTGTTTGTTTTATTTTTAAGTGGTGCTGAGGATTGAACCCAGTGCCTCATGCAAGGCAAACGCTGTGCCACTGAGCTACACCCCCAGCTCCTAAAAAGATTTTGATAAATTTCTAGCCCAAGAGTTTTTAAAACTTGAGGTTGCTTTGTCTTTAAGAGATATACTTTTGTTTCATAGAGGGGAAAAGGTACATATAGAAATAAAGAATGTGAATAAATAGATGTTTTTATGGAAAAGAGTTTGAAACTTGTACTCTTAACAGTTTGTAGAAGTGATGGTAGATAGGAGAAGAGGTTATAGTGAATATTTTAAGTATAATATACTTTATTTATTTATATTTTGGTACCAGGGATTGAACCTAGGGGCGCTTAACCACTGAGCCACATCCCCAGCCCTTTTTACTTTTTATTTTGAGACAGGGTCTCATTAGGTTGCTTACAGTCTTGCTAAGTTTCTGAGGCTGGCTCTGAACCTGCATTCCTCCTGCCTCAGTCTCCCAAACTGCTGGGATTACAGGTGTGTGCCACCATACCTGCCTGTATAATACCCTTTAATATTTACTAAGTTAAATATTCAAGGTGACTGACATAAGTGTCAGGAAAATTTCAGAGTTGTGTAAGTAGAAAAAAGGGTTAAGTGAAGAGCTGCTTATTAAAGTATATAGTAAGACTCTGATCTAAGTGGTGGCTTCTGATGCAGAATTTTACTTCATAATATAACTTAAACTAGAGTCCTAGAGGAGGTTATTTGAAATCAAAACAAAACCAAACCTTCATTTTAAATATAGTAGATAATAGAGAGATGAACATTGTAGCCTAAGAGATAGTATAAGCCAAAGATTTTAACACCTAGTAAATACGTAATTTTTTTCTTTTATAATCTTTCCCTCTTCCCAGGTCAGCAATAGTCCTGAACCTCTGAAGGCTGTAGAACAGGAGGTGAGAATGGTCTTTAAAGACATTTTACAAAAAAAGAAAAGTGTTTATAACTATTGGTTACTTCCTCAACTGCTATTCTCAAAATATCATAGGGTCAGTTTGGAAGACTTGATGTTATTCACCAAAATACAAAAGAAATAATTTATTATACAGTAGTTGTCAGGGTTTTACTGTAGTCTGAAATTTATTCCTCCTCCAAAATAAGTATTTTGAAATAAAGGAGAAGAAAGGACAAGTAAGTCTTATGGAAATTCTGCCTGTTTCCACTTATCAGCTCTAGGTAAGAAAACTGGTACACTTTGTATGAATATCTTCCTTAAGGTAAAAGTACTTAACTTTGTATGGATCCTGGAGACAGCCCTTGTTGTCTTTTTACCTTGAATTGCTCCCCTAGTTTAATAGGTTTCTTCAGCTTTATTCAGCAAACAACTGTTAAAAGCCTAGTACATGTGAGTCTTGATATGTTGGGTATGAGGAATAAAAAGACAAGACTTTCTCTGCTACATCAGGAGTTAATCTAGGTCTGTATGGAAGCCCCTCAACATTGACACTGAAACAACATTCTTTATTCCTCCCAGGAATATCCTTAGGATTAGGAAATTCATATCATTCCTTTAGTAATCTGAATTCTTTTGATCCTGCAATATTGTTTACACCTATAATATATTTTATCTATATATGAGTGTCTAGAGTTTTGGTTCTCAGTGTTTCTTTGGGTCAAATTCTTTTACATGAAACTCCAAAAAAATGAATGTACACACAGAATTGTGTGATTGTTGTGCCTTAGAATTGTAAATTGAGAGTTTAATAACCACTGCTTTAGAGTCTGACTTATTTGGAGAAAAAGAAATGTAAATATAAAATCATAAGATGGTGTGTGTTATAGTAGGACATCCTGTATGGATCTAGTTGTAATTTTGTCTTTACTTTCAGTTTATAAAACCTTAAAATCTGAAAGGTTAAGCTGGGTGTGGTGGCACACACCTGTAATCCCAGCAGCTCAGGAGGCAAAGGCTGGAGCATCACAAGTTCAAAGCCAGCCTCAGAAAAAGCAAGGTGCTAAAAAGCAAAAAGCAACTCAGTGAAACTCTGGGTTTAAATAAAATATGAAATAGGGCTGGGGATGTAGCTCAGTGGTCAAGTGCTCCTGAGTTCGATTCCTGGTACCGTAAACAATCAATCAAATAAATAAATAAATGGTAGACAAATTTAACAGAGTTGCTTGGCCCTTTATTTAGCTTATTTCAAATGAAGGCAGGCAGGCTACTTGGGTAAAACACTACATTGGAACATGTAGTATTTGTAAGCTGTTCTTAATGGAATAATCTATTTTCTATAATTATGCATGTAGTTTATTAGAAAATAGTGATGGTGTAATGCCAGATAACATATGACATATATATTCACCCTAGCACTGAGTGCATGACCCATTTGATGAATGGAACAACTAAAAATATTTTGAAAGGCTTATAGACTTTTAGCCTGATATATAATACCAGTAGGAAAATATACAAAGACCAGATTGTTTCAACCATGGTGTCTCAAGTGAAACCAAAATATTGAGTCTTTGTTGTGATGGTAAAAAAAAAAAAAAACAACAACAACAAAGAATTTACCATCTTAATAATTTTTAAGTATATCCATATTAGTGTGAAACAGATTTCAGAGCTTTTTCAACTTGCATATCTAAAATTCTATACCAGTTACATGGTAATTTCTGTCCCTCCAATCTTGAAAACACCATTACACCTTGTTTTATGAATTTGACCCCACGTATTAGATACCTCATATAAATAGGATCATATTGTATTTGTCTTTTTGAGACTGATTTATTTCACTTAGCATAATGTCCTCGTCCCCATATGACAGGGCGTGGTAGGATTTCTTTTTTTTAATTAAGGACAAATAATATTCCATCGTATGTATCACCTTTCATTTATACAATCATCTATTAGTGGCAAATTTGGGTTGCTTCTACCTCCTGGCTACTGTGAATAATAGCTCGTATGGTGCAAATGTTACTATACAAATAAGCTCTTTTGAGACCCCCTTTTCACTTTTCAGTTTATATCCAAAGTGAAATCGCTGGATGATATGGTAGTTTTTATTTTTTAAAAAAATTATTGTGAGGAACCTCCACATTGTTTTCTAGAGCAGTTATGTTGTTTTGACAGTTCTACCAGCAGTGTTCAGGGATTCTAGTTTCTTCACATCCTTGCTAGGATTGTTACTCTGTTTTTTTTAATTGAATAGTAGCTATCCTATTTGGAGCAAGATACTATTTCATTGTAATTTTCTGGTTCCTTTGTTTTTGTTTTGGTGACACCTGGAATTGAACTCAGGGCCTTATGAATGCTAGATATGTGCTCTACCACAGAGCCACATGTTAGCCATAGGTATTTGGGCTTGTTGCTTTCATTCTGTCTTTAGTTGGAGACACAATACAAGAATGTCATGTCCCTGCCCAAACGCTATAGCAAAGACTATGTTTAAGTATAATCTTGGGAGAATTATATCACCACTGCCTGGGAGACCAAGGAGAAATAAGTACTCTTTTGACAACTATCTGCTTAAAATACAGGGCTTTTCTTTCTGATGCTACATCCCTGGGATCTAGCTGTCAGAAGTGACTTTGTTTTAAAGAGCATAAAATCTTTTGTGCAGCAAACGTAAAAAGTGGAGGTAGATTACTGATACATAAATCTTATTATTCAGAAGGCCTAGGATATCATTTTCTTTTGAGATCTTAATTTTCGACTTCCTTCTAGCCTGAAATCTTTGGATCCTGAGATATTATAGTCCTTTTCCTGTTTTAGGTTCACCTTTCTCCTGGCTCTTTTTACTTCATGCATTCAGGTTCATAAATGAATTTGGGAAAGTGGGCTTTTGCCCATGAGTTTATATTGTTAACTCTTTAATTATTAATTAAAAATTTTAAGATGACAATGACCAGGCTTTGGAAGAAGTGTGTTGATGGCTGGAATGGTAAGGATAAAGAAGAAATATTTTCTCTACTTTTATTTAAGTGGGAAATGTCAAGTCCAAGACTAACTTCACATTATTTTTTTTTCAAATAGTTTCAAAGGCATTTCCTTTTCTTAGTATAGATGAGCTTGATATTCTATAACACTTTCTGAATCCACAGTCTTGATGGATTTGAGAGCTTTCATTAGGACTATGGAGTTTTATATTCTTTTTTTTTTTTTTTTTTTTTTTTTTAGAGAGAGAATTTTAATATTTATTTTTTAGTTCTCGGCGGACACAACATCTTTGTTGGTATGTGGTGCTGAGGATTGAACCAGGGCTGCACGCATGCCAGGCGAGTGCGCTACTGCTTGAGCCATATCCCCAGCCCAAGTTTTATATTCTTAAACATGTGTTACATGTTTGAAGGATGGGAATTCATGTATATGATAACACAAATACGAATTAGCCAGGCTGTTAGATGAACCAAATAATATCCACCACCCTCCCCTTTTCTTTTGGTACCAGGGACACTCAACCCCTGAACCAAACCCTTTTTATTTTTTATTTTGAGAAAGGGTCTTATTGGATTGCTTATAGTCTTGCTAAATTGCTGAAGCTGGCCTTGAACTGTAATTCTCCTGCCTCAGCCTCCTGAGCTGCTAGGATTACAAACGTGTATCACCACACCATACGGGACTTTTATTTTTTATTGAGTGCATATCAAAGCAAAGACAAAGAGTCACTCTGGGATGGTGGTGGCTTATAGTTACTTGTCTTTTCTATAGTCCTCTTTGGCTCCAGAAACATTATTATCAAAGTTTATGACTCAACTTTAAACAAGATAATTTGCTTGACTTAGTAGGGTTTTGTTGTTATTGTTGTTTGTTTATTTTGTTTTGCCATGTGGGGTATTAAGTTCAGGACTTCCTTCTGTGTGTCATATATTAGGTGCCAATCACCAGCTCAAGGAAATAGCAGTTTTATGTTTTAACTTAAGGAAGGTAGAGATGATGGAGAATTAAACTGTTTCTTTCTTTGAATCGTCTGTCTTTTCACTGGAATTAAGTCCAGTGTTTGAGATCCACAGAAGAAAATAATTGTATAATTTAGCTAACTTTATTAGCATATGGTTAGTATTGTAATTGAGATGACAGATGATCTTAAATGCAAGCCATTAAAAATGCTTTCTTTATTCATAAAAGTATAAATAAGTATGAATGCTTTTCCCTTCAAAACTTTATCTCAAGTTGAAGAAAAGTTCATGTAGTTCTATTCATTTGAATTTGTTTAGAATTTATTTACTTTTCCCCCTTAAAGTACCAGTGGCCTATTAAAAAATTTCAGAAAAGCTAAATTTCAGAAAAGTCACAAAAAGAAAATAAATTTTATTCCCTATGCTTAGTTGATTTACATGCTTTTAAAAAAAACTTTGGGACCAAGTGCCAGGAGTGATGGCTTATGGCCTATAATCTTAGCCAGCAACTTGGAAGGTTGAGTCAATCAAGGCCTGCCTCATAAACTTGATGAGACCCTGTCTCAAAATAAAAAAGAGCTGGGGATATAGGAGACTGGGAAGTCTATGATCAAGACTGGCAGATTCAGTGTCTGCAGAGGGCACAGTTCCTGGTTCTCAGATGGCACCTTCTTGCTTTGCCTGTACATGGTAGAAGGATTAAGGACTGTCTCTGGGGTGTCCTTTATAGGGGTATTATATTCATACTCATGAGGGCTCTAGCCTCAAGATAAGTTTCAATATACGAATTTGGGGAGGATAGACAAACATTCAGACCATAGCAGTAGACATCTTTGATATTTTGTATTTTATTTGTGGTATATATTCATATATAGATTTACTACTCTTAGTATATGCTGTAAATCTGAAGTTTCCATTCTTTGTTGACTCTGGAAAATTCTCCCCTATTACCACTATAATTCAGTGGTAGAGTGCCCCTCTTCAAACCCCAGTATTGCACAAAACAAAAGAATCTTTGGGACCATACTTCTTATATTGTTTTATATTCTAATATATTATTTTAGTTGATGATGTTTTATAAAAATGTATTAATCCATGTTGTATTTGCAAAACTTTCTTTTTGTGTGTGTTTGTGGTGCTGGGGATCGAACCCAAGGCTTTGTGCATGCTAGGCCAATGCTGTACCACTGAGCTACACCCCTAACCCCTTCAACGAAATTTTAATTGTTGCATAGTGTTCAGTTGTACAAATGTATCATAATTTGCTTATTCTCCTATCTTGAATCATTAAGGTTGTTTGCAGTATTTTATTGTGATAAGAACCACTAACATGAGTTTTACCCTCTTTAAATTTTAAGTCTACAATATATTATTGTTTTGTCTAGTATTGTACAATAGATCTCTAGAGCTTAATTATCTTGCTCAAGTGAAATTTTCTGGCTTTTGGTTAGTATCTCCTCATTTCTCCCTCCCTGCCGTACCACTCTCCCCACCCTGCTCCTGATAACCAGCATTCTACTCTGTTTCTATAAACTTGTTTGGGATTTTTTTGCTGTATAAATGACAGCATGTGTACATCTTTAACTATTTCTTGAAGAATATATACTTCTCTCTAATATAACATAAGCATTTTACTGTATTACTGAAAATTCATTTTAAGTAGGTATTATACTCTAAAATGGACATATTGTTTTATTTTTCTTTTAATAGATTCAAAGTCCAAGTGGAAATTCGATTTTGGTAAATGGATCATTGTCTGCCATGGATATACACAAAATGATGATTGATAAAATAACCAGTAGCTGACCAGTTATTGTACAAGTGCAAGTATAGTCATTTTTAAAAGTTGAGAATAGCAAGAATGTACTGGAACCAAGGGTCTTAAGCAAACACTTCAGTTTTATCCATGTGTTAGAACCCAACTTTACCAATACAGCTAAAATATTTCAGAATCTGTTTTTTTTTTTTTTTTTCTTATCCTCTGCTCCTGGGGATTAAACTCAGGACCTCCAGTATGCTAGGCAAATGTTCCACCACTTAGTTACATCCTCAGCCCTTTTTATTTTATTCTGAGACAAGGTCTCTCTAAGTTGTCCCAGCTGGCCTCAAGTTTGTGATCTTCCAGTTTCAGCCTCCTGAGTAGCTGAGATTACAGGCATTTGCCATTGTGCTGAGTGATATTTCAGAATCTTAGTGGATTACTTCACACTGGATGTACCAGTTCTTTAATTTTCTATGTCCTTTAACTTTCTACATTTCTCATCAGTTAAAAAGAAAAAAAAAAGGCTGGGATAGGGTATAGGGGAACTGTTAAATTATGTAAATATAATTACCGTGAGAAATTGTAACAGCTGACGTTTTAAACATGTAGTATGTATGAAGTGCATTGCTAAACTAGTATATACAAAAATTTATAATAATCCTATAAAGTAGATACAGATTACAGAATATAGTTATAGAAAGAATGTATAATCTACCTGAGATCATACATTTAGTGAATGGTAAATTTATTAAATTTGCCCTTGTTCTTATTTAGCAGTAGTAAAACTTTTTTTTTTCCTTCCCTCTTTAAGAGAGAGTACCTCATTGTGTTACCCAGGTTGGCCCTCAACTTCTAGGCTCAGCTGATTCTTCTGCCTCAGCCTCCTGAGTAGCTGGACTACACTATTCCTGGCTAAGAAGTAGACTTTTTGTCATGTTCTATTCTCCATAGACCTTTGTACTTTGCTCTAAAAGAATTATATCATTCTTGATATCCATTGGACAGTTTGTAATTCATTATTTTGGACCTTTTTGAAAATCTGTTAAAAACTGTACATTCTTTTTCAGAAAAATTTACTGTACATAGATTTTGCATACATTTTCATATGAACACGTGTCCCTTTAACTCTATTTGGAGATCCTAGAATAGTAGTTTATATTAAATTTAAATGAGTATATGAATCACCTGGGTTGCTTGTAAAATTGCAGATAACCTGACCTCACTGATAAAGTTGGGTGCATTAAGTAGGGAGTTGGATTTAGAATCTGTCTTTTTAACAAATACTTAAGTGATGTGGATGGCAGAATGTTTTAAGATCACAAAACTGTCCTGAATCATTGCTGAATTCATTGCTGTTTTAGAGCAGCTATTACAAAGTATTATTAACAAATGATTGTGTAGTTTTATAATTTTATTACTAATACATCTTTAGTTTCCAGTTTTCTGTTTAGAAAAATCTCATGTATGTTTGGAAAAATATGTTCTACTTAAATATTATTTGCAAATGATCTAGAAAGATTATTTATTGGTAATCAGTGACTCTTCATTGCCTGTTTTTCTTTTCTTTTTCTTTTTTTTTTTTTTTTTAAGGGGGTAGGACTTTCTCTAGTACAGTTCTTAACTCTTTTTCCCCCAATGCTTGGGTTTACACCCAGGGCCTTGCGCATGCTAAGCATGCACTCTACCACTGAGCTGTGCTCCCAGCCTCTAGATGATTTCTAAGTGGTTTAGAATAAATTATTCAGTTAAAATTGCCTCTTTAATTATCTTTATTTGTAGGATGAACTTTCTGATGTTAGCCAAGGTGGATCTAAAGCTACCACTCCAGCATCAATAGCTACTTCAGATGTGGCAGCAATTCCTCCTGATACTCCCTTAAAGGAAGATAATGAAGGATCTGTGAAGGGTACTGACACACCAAATAAGTCAGACATAAGCAAACATATTGAAGTGCAGGTAGCCCAAGAAACTAGAAATGCATCTACAGGTAAGTGACCCTAGTTCTTAATCAACAAAGTTTTGAGTAAAACTCAGATAATGTGGGAATGAGAAGAATGTATTGGGGTGTTGCCTGCTTTAGATATATAAAGATGGTAGATAATTCATTATATTTAATGTAAATAAACATTAAAGAAATAATAAAGTTTTGGAAAGAGATATTGGGGGTTGGGAGGCTAGAGAGCTTAAAAGGCAGGAGAACAACCCTTTTCTGTCCTCTACCTAAGTATGTTAATCTGTTACTTTAGTTTCTCTATTTTTCACCCCTTACATAGAAATGGAAGCAGTGCCTTGCTCCACTACACTATGTCCCCTCAAGAAACACAAATGAAAACTTAATAATTTCTGAGATTGACTATTAACTGAATGTATCACATTGGCTAACCCTATGATTCCTAGAACCTATTTTAAAAATGATTGCATTTTTAAAATATTTAAATGATATATTTACAACCATAAAAGCAACAGGATTTGCATATGAAGGCATGTATGATACATATTTTGTTTATTTCATCATGTCCTTCTTTAGGCTCTGCTGAAAATGAAGAGAAGTCAGAAGTTCAAGCAATCATTGAGTCCACTCCTGAATTGGATATGGACAAAGATCTCAGTGGATACAAAGGTTCAAGGTACTGAAAGTGTCAGATTAAGACATTTTATCTTTCCTTTTCCTTACTTTTATCATAAACACTCTATTCTCTGGCATGTGACCAGACAAGAGCAGTTTATGTTTTTCTGAAGAAATATTGGCATTATATTCCAATTTCTGTTCTTGAAAGTGAACATGGTTTAAACTGTGAAATGTTATTCTTGCAGCATCAGGGATTTGGCGTACAGGGATGGATGGTGTCTTTGTTTTGAACTGCTATAACACTATCTGAGATTGAGTAATTTAGAAACAAGAGATTTATTTAAACAGAGATTTATAAAAGAGATTTATTCTCTTCCAGCTTGAAGGCTAGGAAGTTCAAAAACAAGGTGCTGCAGTTTTGTTTGTCTGGTGAGGACTACTCTCTGCCTCCAAGATGACACCTTGTTTCTGCATCCTCTGGAGGAGAGGAATGTAGTATCATCATATGGCATAAGACAGGAGGGCAAGTTGGCCTAATGCCATGTGAAGCCTCTTTTATGAGGGCCTTTATCCATTCAGGAGGGAGGAGCACTCATGACCTAATGTTTCAAAGGCACTACCTCTTAATAATATCACATTGGCAACACCAAAATTTTGGAGGGGACACATTCGTACCATAGTAGATGTGGGAAAGGAAAACTAAGAGGTATTCCACATTTTTTTTTTAAGAGAGAAGAGAGAGAGAATTTTTTAATATTTTTCAGTTTTCCGTGGACACAAAATCTTTATTTTTACGTGGTGCTGAGGATCGAACCCAGCGTCCCACGCATGCCAACGAGCGTGTTACCGCTTGAGCCACATCCCCAGCCTGGTATTCCGTATTTTCTATAAACTTGAGGAAACAAAGAAGAGAGTTGAAGGAAGTAATAATTTGAGCAACCTTTGTTCCTTCCTCCAGATAAGGAAAAAGAGAAAGTACTTTTGCCTTCCTTAACTAATGATCTCCATTACTAAAAGAAAATAGTCTCATTTCAGTGTCATTTTACAGGAGAAGGCTGTTTGATGGTGGAAGAAAATGGTTAAGAATGGTTAGGTAGCATCTTAACCAAGGTTATCTGAAATATGTTGATGTTCGCAAATGTCAGATAGAAGCTATTGACTATATTCAGATTTCTTCCATAAATTTTAACTTTTAATTAATTAATAATGACCATAAAAATACATGCCGTTTATGGGCTGGGGTTGTGGCTTAGTGGTAGAGCACTTGTCTAGTCTAGTGTGAGGCACTGGGTTTGATACTCAGCACCACATAAAAATAAATAAAGGTCCAACAACAACTAGTAATTTTTTTTTTAAAAAAGAATACATGCCATTTATTAATCTCTGCTAACCCATTGTGCATTACACTATAGAAGTTAAAAACATACCCCAAGAGTAAGACTATATGAGTTCAAATCTTGGCCTTGGATTTGCATTTTAGGTTTCTTTATCTGTAAAAGGGGATTATAATAATACCCTAGATAGTTATGAGGACTAAATGAGTCAATGTACTTTAAATCATTGGCAAAGTGAACCAGGCACTATGGCACATACCTTATAATCCCAGTGATTTAGGAGGCTGAGGCAGAAGGATCACAGATTGAGGCTTTGCCTAATCAATTTAGCAAGGCCCTGTCTCAAAAATAAAAAAAAATAAAAAAGTTGTAGCTCAGTGTTAGACTGCCCCTGCATTCAACACTCAGTACTGCAAAAAATAAAATCACAGGCAAAGTACCCCATTCATCAAAATTTGACTAATAGTTTTCATCATTATTTTATATAATTCTGTTGTAATTTTCACTAACCTTATGAAGTAGATGTTTTCATCCTCATTTTACAGATAAAGAAACTCAGAAAAGTATAGTAACTTATCCAAAATCACCAAACTAGCAAAAAACAGAGCTGAAATCAGAGTGTAAAAATGAAACTGGCATATAAATATATATATATATATATATATATATATATATAAATAAAATATATATAAATATATATATTTTAGTTGTAGATGGACACAATACCTTTATTTTATTTGTTTGTTTATTTATTATGTGGTGCAGGGGGTGGACAGCCAGTGCCTCATGCATACTAGGCAGGTACTCTACCACTGAGTCACAACCCCAGCTGAAACTGGTTAAGAAATTCACCTTCTTCTAAGCATAGATATAACTACTTATTTATATAGCTTGGATCTATTGTAACTTTTGACATTTTGAACCTCTTTAAATTTAAAATTTCACTTTATTTTTTGTTTATTTATTTATTTATTTTTTGCAGTTGTGGGGATTAAACCTAGGTCCTTACACATGTTTACACATACTCCCACGGAACTCATCCACAGCCCTTTTTTTATTTTATTTTGAGCTAGGATCTCACTAAGTAGCCCAGTCTGTCCTGAAACTTTGAGACTCATTTTCTTGGCTTAGCCTTAAATTTTATTCTTAATAGAATAAGTGTCTGAAATTTTAAAGTCAAATAATACTGTAGAATTATAATTTTATCTCAACTTTTGCTAGTATTCATTGTTTCTTTTTTTAATATTTTATTTTTTAGTTATAGTTGGACACAGTACCTTTATTTTATTTATTTATTTTTATATGGTGCTGAGAATTGAACCCAGTTCCTCACATATGCTGGGCAAGTGCTCTACCACTGAACCCCAACCCCAACCCCTCATTGTTTCTATTATTATAATAACTACCAATATTAATCACAGATTATCCACAGAATGAAATATAGTTTAATTTCCTTTCTTTTCAACTTTGTGTTTTTTTGAAATTATTGTAGTCTTAGAGGTTAAATTTGCTGAAGATTGAGCCCATGTGGTAGGCAGGAGCTCTACCACTGAGTTTTTATGTGGTGCTGAGAATTGATCCCAGTTCCTCACACATACTAGGCAAGCACTACCACTGAGCCACAATACCAGCCCCCCTCACCCCATATATTTCTCAAGTATAAACATCCTTATGACCAAACCCAGAATCTTTTCTAGAGCTCTCCCTCCTGTGGCCTTCTATTGGCCATTCATCAATCCTGACTGCAGTGTTTGCTCTGGTTCTGAGATATGCTTCATTATTAACCCTAGGAATTCTCTTTCACCTCTCTCTATTTCCTAGCTCCCAAAGCATCCCACTTCTTGATTTCTGCCTTTATTTCTACAGTGCTTATTCTTACTAGCTTTCTGGACAAAGGATGCATGAGTTATAATTTTTTTGAGAACTGAGAACTGTGACAAATATCATTTGTAGATGTGTTTCATAGTTTGACTAGATATAGAATTATAGGTAGGAAAATTTTTTTTTTTTTAGAATTGCAGAGATATGGTTTCATTATCGTGTTGAGTTCAAAGTGGTGCCATTTAGATTCACAAGTCTTTGTATATACTCTTCAAAAACTTTTAGGTCTTATTGTTTGGTTTTTGATTGTTTAATTGGTTTATCTTCTTATACAAACTAAGTGCTTTTACCTGAAAATTTTTATCTCCCAGGTATGAGAAATTCTCTGTCTCCTTATTTTTGTTTCTTTTTTTTTTTTAGAGAGAGAGAAAGAATTTTTTTTAATATTTATTTTTAGTTTTTGGTGGACACAACATCTTTATTTTTTTTATTTTTATGTGGTGCTGAGGATCGAACCCAGCGCCCCATGCATGCCAGGCGAGCACACTACCACTTGAGTCACATCCCCAGCCCCTTATTTTTGTTTCTTACTCCTGTTCTAAGAACATTTGTTAGGTAGATGTCAAGCGTATTGGACTGATTCTCATCATTCCTGCTCCCTCTTTTCTATCTCCTCTATTTTTTATTTAATTTTAAGCAAAACTTGATTTTTTTCTCCCCTTCACCCAAAGTTTTTCCTTGTTATTGAATGGTTGCTTCTTAAACCACTTGCTGTTCTTATTTGGATGCAATACTTATTCTGGAATTTTTTTTGTTTGTTTGTTTGTTTGTTTTCTGTGTTGCTGCTGCTGCCTCAATGTTTGAGTTAGCACCTCCTTCACATACTCTTTTTTTTTTCATTTTTAATTTTTTTCAACTGCAGATGGACCCAGTATCTTTATTTATTATTTATTTTTTATTTGGTGCTGAGGATCAAACCCAGTGCCTCACATGTGTGAGTCAAGCACTGTACCACTGAGCCTCAGCCCCAGTCCCCATACTCTTTTGTTTGGACTCTTTCATAATAGTCTTCTCTTTGGGGGGCGGGGGATGGGAGTGGGGGGGTGAGAGTGGGGTGGGTAATGAGGATTGAACTCAGGACTACTTGACCACTGAGCCACATCCCCAGCCCTATTTTGTATTTATTATTTAGAGACAGGGTCTCACTGAGTTGCTTAATGCCTTGCTTTTGCTGAGGCTGACTTTGAACTCAAAATCCTCCTGACTCAGCCTCCTGAGCCATCGGGATTGCCTGGCTCCCCCATAAAAAAAAGTTTTCTTTAAATGTCTGGCATTCTGTGACTGTTTTGTGTATACTTGTGTAAAAACATTGATTCTCTGGTTTCTTGTCTATAACATTTAAACTTGACTTCCAAGGGTTGGGGTTGTTTGCTTACCCAGTATGCATGAGCCCTGGGTTTGACCCCAAGCACTGCCCAAACTGTGCTGAGAAGGGTGGTTCCTTTGTTCTGGTGGATTACAGGTCAGTCTGGTATTGTTTCTTGTGCAGTCTTACATCCTATCCTTCTGTTTGACATTCTCCATTGAATGCTCATCTCTGTAGTTGCTGGTATCTTTAAGTCCTACATCTTTCATGAGTTCTGGCAACACATTGTCCTCCTCCTTAAATCCCCTGACAGCTTAGGTTTCAGCTTTCTATAGTTTGTTACATCAGTTTTCTACTGTTTGCTCATCTGTTTTCTGTCTTATGGAAACTTATTCACGTTTCATCTTCTCTAATCCTTTTTTTACACACACTCCCCCGTATCCTTTCTCATTTTGGGTGGTATATACCTTTCTACTTTCTTAACTGTCATCTTAGTCAGGTTTCTGAATTATTGGGTGCAAATGACTGTGTTTAGTTCACCATGATTAAATGGAAATCCTGTACTGAGTGTTTCTGTCAGTGTAGCATTGAGGTAAAAACAAACTTTCCCATTCTCCTCCATACCCCTACAAAAAATGGCTTATAATGTATATACTATTTTGCAGCTTAGTTTTTTTTTAAATCTTTGTATAATGGGTTTTCTTATTTTACAAGTTCTATTTTAATGTTTTTAATCATAGAGTTGAACATTTTGACTTTATATGTATATCCATAACTTATTTCATTGGTACCCTATTAATAATCACAGGTTGTTTCAACTTTTTGCCACTATAAAAATGGTGCTCTGACTTTGTTTTTGATACTGGGGATTGAACCCATGGGGGCTCTACCTCTAAACTACTTTCCAGCCTCCCCCCACCCCTGTTTTAAATTTTTATTAGTTATTGATGGACTTTTATTTATTTGTTTATATGTGGTGCTGAGAATCAAACCCAGTACTAGGCAAGCACTCCACCACTGAGCTACAACCTCAGCCTCTCCCCAGCCCCTTTTATTTTTTATTTGAGTTAGGGTCTTACTCAGTTGCCAAGGCTGACTTTGAACTTGTGATCCTCCTTTCTCCCATGACTGGGATTATAAGTGTGTACCATTGCACCTGACTTACTCTGATCATCTTTTCATACATAATTGCTTGTGACAGGACTTTTGTAAGACTTTTTTTGGGCATAGTGTTCTTGGGTCAATTTTAATACTGTCATATTGTCCTTAAAAGAAAAATTAAAATGCCATGCTAATTTATAACAGACAACATAAAACATGGTAGATAACATCATGAATTCTAAAACCAGACTACCTGAATTTGAATTCTGTTTTTTTGTTTTTCCACTCATTTACTCAGTGACCTTGGCAAATTCCTTAATCTTTTTAGTCTTTATATTCTAAAATTGGTGTGATAGCAACACTTGCTTTGTGGAGTAATTATGAGCCTGAAATAGATAATCTGTATGGGACACTTAGACCAACCAGTACCTGATACAGAGCAGCATAGCTTTCATTTTGCTGATGTCCTGGGATCTCACAACAAAACATGCTATAGTTTTCTTTACCAATTATCTCTGAATAGTTTTGTGGGAATTTCTTAGGAAACCTTTGAGAAGTCTTTTAAAATTATATTTCATGGTAAATGTAACTTATAGGTAAGGTATTCCTATGTTGCTTTGCTCATTGTATTAAAAATATACTATCAAAGTTTTTGTAATTAGTTGATTTGGTTTTGTTGTTTTTGTTGCATAGCACTCCCACCAAAGGCATAGAGAACAAAGCTTTTGATCGAAATACAGAATCTCTCTTTGAAGAACTGTCCTCAGCTGGCTCAGGCCTAATTGGAGATGTGGATGAAGGAGCAGATTTACTAGGTATGGCAGCTCATCTGAAGAAGTATCATGCTTTAAAAATACATTTATTTAATGATTTGATTGAAAATTTTCCCAAGTGCTTGTTGGTACAGAATTGTTGCTGTTTTAGGAAATGACTTATATATTCTTTGAGATCATAAAAGATATAAATGAAAGCATTTTCTTATGGATATGCTTATAATTGAATTCATTTAAATTTGTTTTGAATTCATATAACAATTTATTGAACTCCTCCTGTATTCTGAGAACAAATATTAACATATGAGGAACACAATCATAACAGTGATATGTATGTGTAAATAAATGTATGTTTGGACAGTTTTCTGACTTAAATAAATATCACTGCTGACCTTAATAAAATACACAATCATTACACTTGATTTTTTTGAACTTAATAGTGTTTTACCTATGGAAAATGTAATAATTTTAGAGTTTGTGTTGAACGGGGCATGTAGTTCAGATGCCCTGGGTTTAATCCTCAGTTATCCTCTCCTCCCCCGCAAAAATATTTGTGTTGAACATGTAGTTTGAAAAGAATTAACACATTTGGACTGAGTGCAGTGGTGTATACCTATCATCCCAGTGGGTTCAGGAGGCTGAGGCAGGAGGATTGCAAATTCAAAGCCTGCCTCAGCAACTTAGCAAGGCCCTAAGCAACTGAGTAAGACCTGCCTCAAATAAAAAATATTCTTTGAGATCATAAAAGATATAAATGAAAGCATTTTCATTTCTGAACTGGCCTAGGGACGTGGGCCAATGGTTAAGCACCTGAGTTCGATCCCTAGTACAAAAAGTAAAAAAAAAAGAAAAAACAAAACAAGGAAAAAATACCAAACAAACATACTTGGCCTTTTCACTTTTCTGGCCCTTAGTTTCTTTATGTATAAATGAAAAGAGTTCCAGCAAACTGTGGTTTATGAGTCAAATCCATCTGACCTTTATGTGTCAATGAAGTTTGATTGGAACACAGTCCTTCCTGCTATTTGTTTACTTATTCTTGATAATTGCTTTTGCCCAACAGGATTCAATAATTTGCATCAAAGATTATGTGGCCCACAAGCCTAAAATACTTGCCATCTGCTGCTTTATAGGAAAAGTTTACCAATTCCTACTCTAGGTGATCTCTGAAGTTCCTTTGAATAAAATTACATGATTTTGACTCATGTAAATTAGCATTGTTGTATCTTTTTTATCCTCTAAGACCTTTTAGAAATTTAAAAATACATAGAATTAAAAATCTGTGACCTTGAAATAGATATAGGGCTACAAAAAATGTTGTGTATGTTAGTGTAATCTATAAATCATATTGTTTTCAAAAGGTGTTATTTGTCAATTCTTGTGAATATAGTATGAAGTGATGTTGTTTGCATTAATTATTGTTTAATTTATTTGTTGCTGGTTACATCGTTGACATAGTGAAGTATTAAATAAAAACCCCCCTCAAGTTCTATCTAAACAATCATCTAGTAGAAAGTATATAAATTTAACTATTCCTAGTTCGATATCAACATACTCTCATCATTGAAAGTCTAAGTAAAACATTGGAAGAAAAATTGTATGAATTTTATTTCTCAAGGAAGGTTGGAAAGATTAATTTTTAGAGAATATGCCATCTTTACATTTAAATTTATACCTTAGTTTTCAATTGTACTTTAAAAATTCCTTTTAAGATTTGATTGAGGGCCTGGGGTTGTGGCTCAGTGGTAGAGCTTATATGTATAAGGCACTGGGTTGGATCCTCAGCACCACGTAAAGTAAATAAAGAAATAAAGGTATTGTGTTATGTACAACTAAAGAAGAAGAAAAAAAAAAGATTTGATTGAGCCAGGAATGGTGGCACATGCCTGTGATCCAAGTGAATCAGGAGGCTGAGGCTGGAGGATAGAGAGTTCAAAGCCAGCTTCAGTAATTTAGTAAGACCCTGTCTCAAAACATTAAAAGGGCTAGGGATGTGGCTCAGTGGTAAAGCACCCCTGGGTTAAATCCCCAGCACCTAAATAAATAAATAAAGGACTGAGGATGTAGCTCAGTGGTTTAATGCCCCTGGGCTCAATCCTAGTATCACAAGGAAAACAAGATTTGATTGATAAATTACTCCCTGGCAAATTTGAGGTATGGATGCCAAGAATGTTAGGTTGAAGAACTAAAAGATTTTAAAATTTATATTCATATTTACTAGTACAATAAAATTCACTGTTTTTTGTGTTCAACTTTTTGAGATTTGACAGGTGCTTAGTGTTGTATAACTACCACACTGTGTGTAAACACCACAGAATCAATATAATTCCCCTCTCCAAATCCTTCATATTGCTTCTCTTTATTATTAATCAGCATGAAGAATTTTTGGAAATAATTTGTACACTCTGTTGCCTCATAACTCAATAGTGAGTAATAAAAGAGGCTGGTGGCACCAAACTTTCTTTCTCTCCAAGAATTAACTTTGGGCTGGGATTATAGCTCAATGGCAGAGCACTTGCCTAACATGTGTGAGGCACTGGGTTTGATCGTGAGCACCACATTAAAAAAAAAACTAAACAAATAAAGGCATGTTGTTCATCTACAACTATAAAATTTTTTTTGAAGAATCAATTTTAATTAATCCAGTAACTGTAGTGCTGGGAATTGAACATAAGACCCTATGCACACTCAGCAAGTACTCTACACTGATTACATCCCTAGCTGTCCCTATAAAAAATAAAACAAGACAGTACTCTGAAACACTTGTGGTCTTTTAATTAGGTCAAGTATTTGGTGAAAGTCATAAAATTAAGCATAATAAATTGATTAAAAACAAAATCTTGATTCTTTTGGTTTCCTTTCCACGATGAAGATAAGAAAGAAAAATGTAAACTTCTATCTTTTGCATTTGCAGATATTAGTATATTTCAGATTAGAATATTTTAATATATTAAGTTCAGTGCCTGTGTCCAAAATGGTAAATGAAATTTCTAAGGAATATGTTCCTTGGCTTCTCTTGTGTGTGCAATTCAGTGATAACAGCTTAAGTAATACTCACTAAATGGGAGATAGTTCAGCTAATAAAATTGTTCTCTAAGGCCTTTAATTAACCTTGGGTTGTTGAATCCACTGTTCATTTCATTTTTTAAAAATTAGTTGTAGATGGACACAACACCATTTATCTATCTATCTATTTATTTATTGTGTTAGGGATCAAACCCAATGTCTCACATGTGCTAGACAAGCACTTGACCACTGAGCCACAATCCCAACCCTCTTTATTTTTATTTTTTAAGTTCCTATATTATTATAAAACGGTTTTCTCCTACGACTTAGTTCTTTAATCGTTATACCGTTGTCCTTTTCTCCACTTTGTCACTCATGACTACATCCCTAGAACTTGGAAATCATATGTTCATAAGTCAACTCTTGAGATTTTTCTTAATTATCTTACCTATTTTCAACTTCTCTATCACTATTAACTTCTTCCCATTATCATTTAAACATATTTAGGTCTTTTCTATTTAAAAATAAGAATATTTCCCCTCTTTTGACCCTGAAACTCATTGTCTGTCAGCTATCACTCATTTTCTTCTCATTTCTAGTTACACTTGTTATGCTATATGCAAAGCACTGTATCTATGATAGTGAGCAAAACTTCAAAACTTCTTGTAGTCTTTAACCAGCAGGACTTCACAGTTTTACTTGCTCCTCATTCTACTGCTGTCTGCATTCTCACCAACCTTGCCTTCAATAGCCTTCTTAGTTGTGATTCCTTCTCAAGTTATTTCACATGACTTCTCAAAAGTAGTTGTCTATAAAACTATCCTTGTTGGGTTTCTGTAATATCAGACTTGTCTTCTTCTTTTTCTGCCTCTGGCTTTTCCTTTTTGGTTATCTTACCAGGATATGCTTTCTCTGCTCAACTTTCAGATATCAGCTTTCCTGTCCTAGGCCTGCTTCTTTCTTTGGGAAATCATATTTGCTGTCATTGTTTCTTAATTTTTGTGACTAATGTAAGTTTTTATCTCCATCCCATCTTTTTTCCTAGTGTCACAGACTGTGATTTCCAAACTGCCTACCTATTGCTCCTGTGATGATTTACAGGACTCTGTATTTGACATGCCTCAAGCTTAACTTTGTTGCTTGTCTCCTATTCTTGCACCAGTATGTACTGTCGTGGTGAATGAACAGCCTCACCATCTCTTCTCTTGCAGCCAGTCCCCAGTCTTGTTTGTTTTCTCCTAAATATGTTCAGTGTGGACAGAACAACTGCATTACTGCATTTTTAGCACATAAGCACAGCAACTAAATGAACAATATTGTGAAATAGTTCTAACGGTTTTGTTTCATCTCTAAATCTGCTTCTTCACTTTTGGGGATTAAAAATCCCTTACGGGAGAATTTTTTAAGAGAGCAATGTACCTTTGGAAAAGTGTGTACAATAAGATATAATGGGGCATACTTTCTCAAGGTTTTACTAGATAACTCTGAAGCCTATCTGTTGACCTAACTTGAGCATCAGTGCTAATATTCAAATGAGACTTCTATAATTTAAAAGCTGTCAGGGAGTTCCCCACCCCCTTGTTTTTAGTAGTCAGTTTCAAAAATGTTAGACTGTATACTTAGTTTAAGTCTTAAATAGAGATAAGACCTCTTCAAGTAGTATTTTTCCTATAATTATAATGAGTTAGTTTTTATTGATATATTTTGAAGTGAAAAATTTGAATATTCCCACGCAACATATTTTAAATTTATGCACTGGATTTTTTTTTTTCTCCTTAGTGCCAGGGATTGATCCCAGGGCCTCATACATGCTAGGCAAGCATTCCACCACTGAGCCACATTCCCAGCTCTGTGCACTAGATTTTAAAAATCTCTTCAACTCTTCAATGTTTAAGTTTAAACTTTAGAAGCTAGATTTTAGGAAAAGGTTCTCATGGGCATATATTTCTTTTTTTTTCTATTTATAATATTTATTTATACTTTGTCTTTAATATTTTCCCTATATTGTTTCAATTTCTTGTTACCTCTCTCTCATTTTAAAATAAATGAGTTTACTTCTTGCTTTCAGAAAATAATCTAATTGAGATTCTCATTCATTTTACTCTTGGGCTGCTTACCCAGGGGAATATTCTGGTGTGTATACTTTTAAATTATTTCATATTACTGCTTTATAAGCTAGGTGTTCTTGCCTGCTGTTCTCATTTAATGCTTTCTCATCATTTTTTTTTCTGCTCAACTTGTTTTTTTTTTGCCCTGCATATATTTTCAGCTTTTATGCTTATATATTGTTTGTGATATATAGTAAACAAGTAAACATATTTATTATATGAACTTTTTCAGCTAGTTCAAACTCAGTTTCTTCTGTCTCTGTGTCTTTATTGAAAGGTTAACATTTGTGTTTAAAGCAAACAATTTGGCAGAAGTTATTTTGGGGCTGGGATTTAGAAAGTTTTTTAGTTTTCCTTTTGTTTTTTCAGTTTATAAAAAATATATGGCTGCCAGGTTAAATATGTTGCTACTTCTGGTAAAGACAAAATATAAGTCCATGGGATTTTTAGCATGCCAAGGTTTGTTTTGTTTGTTGGGATGAGTAAAGTGATGGATTTGGGATTTGGGTGTTCTTGTTTTGTAATATTCTTTAATGTGTTATTTTATTTCTTCATTTTCTTATGAGAAGCAAATTACGTAGCTTTATTCTCCTTAAAGTCTGCTTTGGATATGGCATTAAATATTCTACATGCCTGTTTTATAGTACCAATTAAAATATTAAGTATATTTCTATAAAATAACAATCGTATTATTATTTCATAGGTGGTATTTTATAGGAAACCTTGTATTATTGACTTAGGGCTTCTTCTTCTTCTTTTTTTAAATCTGTGTTGGGGATTGAACCCAAGACTTCACACATGCTAGGCAAGCACTCTGCCACTGAGTTATATCCCAACCCAAATTGTGGGGTTTTCAATCTAATTATATTGAATTTTATTGTGAGAGAGAATTGGTAAAGCATTTTTTTAAGTGTACAGAGAGCATCCTTATGAATGAAGGAAATCATCTTTATTTATTTATTTATTTTTAAAAAATATTTATTTTTTAGTTATCGAACCCGGGCCACACGCATGCCAGGCGAGCGCACTACCGCTTGAGCCACATCCTCAGCCCTCATCTTTATTTTTTGTTGTTTACACATCATTGTGCATTAAATCATAACACTGATTCCAGGTGTTTTTCATGTCATGCATAGAAATTTATAGATTAATAATCTGTTTTCATGCTGTTTCTTACATAAAACATTTCTTGTTCTTTGTTTTTGCTTTACATGGAATGCATGGGCTTTAAGACCATAATTTCTTTGGTAAGGTTTCATCTGCCTTGGGGTTCTGTCTCTTTTTGACCTTGTTTCTGTCTATTCTGTATTAATAAAACCAAATTTTTAGGCAGAAGCCTAATATCAGCTGTGATTTAGAAACAATTTCTGATCTACATTAATGCCATTCTTTTTTCTCTCTAAATAATGCTACTTGTTAGAATATTTGGCAAAAGATTTTGATATTTTTGAAATATTATCTATGAGAAATAAAATATAGACTAACAGATTTAAAGAACACCAGCAAGAGTTGAGTGCATTAGCATAAACCTGTAACTCCAGCTAATTGGGAGATTAACACAGGAAGATTGCTTAAGTCCAGGAATTTTAAACTGTCTTAGACACCATAGCAAGGCCCTGTCTCAAAAAAAAAACAAGAACAGAAAAATTGGACAACAAGATGTTTAGCTTTATTTTGTGATAATTATTTATAATCTTAAAATTTATACAAGCATATATGTCAAATGAAACTAGATGCACAATAAGACTTCTTAGAGGATAGATAAAATTTATGACTATAGCTTATATATAATTTGTTACACAACTTATTTTCAAGGTCTTTTATTATTTGTCTTTTGATAGGAATGGGTCGTGAAGTTGAGAATCTTATACTAGAAAATACACAACTGTTGGAAACCAAGTAAGTATGAAATTTTAACAAGGAATAAGAGATAATAAATTTTCTTTTTGTCCAAGTCAGTGACACTTCATCAGTTTAACACAGCACTAATTCTGTCTTTTCTCTCTCTCTGTGAAAATATGTAATAGGACCTTTGCAGAACACAAATTTTTGTTATTTTTCCACTTTATAAGTATCCATGCCTTTCTCTTAATCTTGTGGATGTGTCCAGTACTTGTTTTTGTTTTTGTTTTTTGAATTTATTTTTTGCTCTCTTCTCTAAGATTTGTCTATGTTCTTATCTCTATTTCTGCACAAATGATTTGATACATGCCCAGCCCATTTTATGGAACTTTCCACCAAGGTTGAATATTCTCTAGTACAATTTATGGAGTCTTAGGCCTCAAGTAATGTGAAATTTTATTTAATGGAGCAAATTATTTGTCATGTGGATAAAAAGTAGACTGGGTCCCCTCATCAATTTGCTATGTCAGATCACTGGAACATGTATAGATCGTCACCCAAAATACAACTATCAGAAGGTCCTATGTCCACTATACCTAAAAAAAACTACCTCTTGAACTTTTTTCTTAAATTTCTCTCCAGTTCAGAGTGTTTTAGCTTCAAGGAGTTATTCAACTTTATTGATTGGGCAATCTCTCTTCAGAACTCACAAACAATAGAAGCTAGGTGTAGTGGCACACACTTGTAATCCAGTGATTCGGATGGCTGAGGCAGGAGAATTTCGAGTTCAAGGCCAGCCTCAGCAATTTAGCAAGACTCCTATCTCAAAAAAAAAAAAAAAAAAAAGCATAGAGGATGTGCTCAGTGGTAAGTGTCCTGGGTTCAATACCCAGTGTGAGTGTGAAATGCCCCCAGCCCTTATCTCTGCAGTGAGCAGGCCTTCCATTTACCAGCTTGTCATCCAGATATTATCATTTTTGTTTGTGTCTTGATGTGAAAGTATTAAAAAAGAAAAAAGAATAATTTACTAATAATAGTAGTTGCCTTAACGTTAATTTGCTTTCTTTTTTTGGTACTTACAGTTGAACCCAGGAGCACTTAACCACTGAAGTACATCCCCACTTTTTTTCTATTTTTTTTATTTTGAGACAGGGTCTCGTTAAGTTGCTGAGGGCCCCACTAAGTTGTTGAGGCTGGCTTTAAACATGCAATCCTTCTGCCTCAGCCTCCCAAGTCACTGAGATTACAGGCATGTGCTACCACACTGGGATTAATCTTGGTTAATTCTGATTTTTTTGTTGGTCTGTCTTGTTTTATCCATTCTTCCTTTAAATAAGTGGGAAGAATAGTAAACACTTGAATGTTTTTTATTCTTTTGCTTTTGTTTACAAACAGCATCAGACAGAATGTCCAAAAGTCTTCAGTTGTTTAGCTTTATGATTGTACAGTTACTTTGGGGTACAAAGGAATAATCTGAAAGACAAAAGAGTATTCTTGTAATCTTGCACTTGAAATATGTGTTTCTTAGAAATGCTTTGAATGTAGTAAAGAATGATCTGATAGCAAAAGTGGATGAACTCACCTGTGAGAAAGACGTGCTGCAAGGGGAATTAGAGGCTGTGAAACAAGCCAAACTGAAGCTAGAAGAAAAGAACAAAGAATTGGAAGAGGAGCTCAGAAAGTAAGTTTTGGCTGTACTGCTCTAAACCAAACTGTCTTTGCCAGATTGCCACAAAAGGTTATAGGTATAATCCTGAGCTTGAGACCTTTAACTCTCTCAAGTCGGGAAGGGCCAAGAGCTCCCTGGAGAGTGTGAAATGCTCCCAGCCCTTATCTCTGCAGTGAGCAGACCTTCCATTTACCAGCTTGTCATCCAGATATTATCATTTTTGTTTGTGTCTTGATGTGAAAAGTATTAAAACTATTCAAGTATCTTTGATAATAAAGAAATTAAAATTCATTTTTTTCCTCACCCAGTTTTTTATTTTTGGTTTTATTTTTTAAGGAATGCTATGATAATATCTTTCTGAATTGAAGGTAACAAAATGCCCTTTTGGAACAAGAAAAATAATACTTTAGTGGTAGTTAAAATTCTTCACCTACACTTTCAGTATTTTGAAAAGATGAACTCAGTTTAAATAACATGTTTTGTTTATTTTCCCACTAGAGCTCGTGCAGAAGCTGAAGACGCAAGGCAGAAAGCAAAAGATGATGATGATGTAGGTTTATAATTTTGGGGGTTTTATCTTACCATGTTTTGATACTTTTGGAAAATCTTGCTAATTAAGATTTGGATATATAGCATTGTAAATATTTTAAATAATTAGAAGTCATGTTTGTGGGTAATGAAAAGGATAGCTCATGCTTCCCCAGAGTGTTCAGGTGCTAAGCTTTCTAGCTACATGCTGTGTTTTTATGTTTTTTTCTGTCTCTGTGCTCTGATCTGTGGTTTGCCTATTCAAGTTCAAAGACCAGCTGGAACATTTTGGGTTTTGTTGTTTATCATTTATTTTGTTTCATATTTTAACTTAGAAATATGAAAGCCTGGTCTAGGTGGGTGTGGGTTCAGTTTCTGGCATTGCAAAAATAAAAGTTTTAGAGAAATATGAAAACAATAAAATTATTTAATAGTATTTAACATAAAAAGATGAAATCTAGAATTTTAAGTACTAAGCATTTAGCCCATATTGCTATCTATATACATGAATACAAAAGAATAAATTATGAGCTTCAAGTACTAAAATTTACCCCATATTGCTGTCTGTGTACATCAGTACAAAAGAATAAAGTATGAATTTCATGCCAGTGTTGTCATGCTGGTAATTCTTTTAGTAGCTTTATTATCATTCTTATAACAGGTGCTTCACACTAAAGATCAGACTTGAGATATATTGGAGTCCTGAAGAGAATTATCATTTGATTTCCCTTTTAGTTTATTCTGTGTTTGTGTATTTATTTACTTAATTTTATTTTTTATACAAGTGGAGCACAACTTTTCATTTCTCTGGTTGTACATGATGTAGAGTCACACCATTCATGCAATTCTACCCATACATAGGGGTAATAATTTCCATCTCATTCTACCATCTTACCCCCCTCTTTCGTGTTTTAATGTATTAATTAATACAGACAGAAAACATGTAACATATAAGTTATGAATAAGTTAACTTTATGAACCCACTACCCAGTTTAAGAACTAGGCCACTACCAAACATTGAACTGCTCTGGGCTCCTCCACTCCAAAGGAAACCTTGATCCTGTATTTATCATTTATTCATCTTTAAAAAACAATAATTGTATCATACCATGTGTATATGTGTATGTATGTGCCTTTACAAAGTATGGTTTTCATTATTTTTGTGTTTCATATATATTTAGTCTTGAAGACTTGCTTCTTTTACTCAATAACATATTTTTGAGATTTAACCTGTATTGTAGAATAGTGTTGTTGTTCATAATATCCTATTACATAAATATTCTACAATTTATCTGTCTTCCTGTTAATGAATATTTAGGTTAGTCTTGGTGTTTTACTACCATAAGTAATACTGCTGTCAAGAACATTTTAGTGCAAGTCTCAGCGTATAGGAATTTTTCCAGGTTATCTACCTAATAATGGGATTACTTGCTGTGTTGGCAAAATTCAGATCCTTTGTTATTCGTCATTAACTTTTATTTAAAGCTGGAGCCAGGTTCTGTGACAGGAGATCAAAGGAGGATGACTGCTGAGGGTTAAGCTCAGCTTTTCTCTTAATATCCCAAGCTGTGATCCAAATATTCATACTCCTTTCAGCAAAGCAAAATACCTACAGTTAAACCTACCTTTTTCCCCATAAGAGCATTGAAAAAGCAGCAGCAGATGGAAGTTAACTTGGGCATGCCGTTTTCGGAACCTAATCCTACACATCCTCCATATTCACATCTTTGTTCTAAGAATGAGTCTAGTTAATGCAGTAGTCTCTATTTTGTTGTATCTCTACTCGTATTTTAGTTATTCTTATATTTGGGTACACTGGTAACTAGGCAATAAGTTTATCATTTATATTGATCCTTGGATGTACCTATGTATTGTTGGTTTTGGAACTAGCTTGTAGCTATTTTCTGAATGATGATTGTTATAGAACACAAAATTCACAATTAGAACATTTCTAAGTAAAACTGATGAGAGTATATATTAAATCTGTATAGAAAACAGTTTGGGGTTTTAGTTTCAAATCTGCACTAATTTTTGTAATTTCTTTATAATATGTTTAAATATCAGTATTTATATCTAGAAATTAAATCACCTACCTCTTTTTAGTCATAAGTAACTATTTAAATTTTCATTGTTTTATTTCTCATTTATTAGATGAGAAATTAAGGAATGTTTAAAAACTTGGAAGATTTTACTTAAATCTGAGATTAATACCAAAAATAAGCTCCTGAAGTGATCTGTTGTCTTCTTGTCATTATAGAGTGATATACCCACAGCTCAGAGGAAGCGGTTTACTAGAGTAGAAATGGCCCGTGTTCTCATGGAAAGAAACCAGTATAAGGAGAGATTAATGGAGCTTCAAGAAGCTGTTCGATGGACAGAGATGATTCGGTTTGTATAAGAAGTACTCTGTGAGCTGGGGCTGGGGCTTGGGCTCGGGCTCAGTGGTAGAGAGCCTGCCTTGCACGTGTGAGGCACTGGGTTTGATCCTCAGCACCACATAAAAATAAATAAATAAAGATATTGTGTCCATCTACAACTAAAAAAAAAATATTAAAAAAAAAAAAGAAGTACTTTGTTTTCCTACCATTGTTTCTTAAATCTATATATTTTTCATTCAGAACAAGTCTTCCCTTGAGGGTAAATATCATTTTCTCTGTTTACTAGGAGAGACTATAATACTTGGATTAGTAATAGAAAGTGATCAGAAAAGGTATCTTTTGAGTCACTGTGAATCTTCCAGGAGGCTCCCACAATCTGTAAAAGGCAGTTGTTACTACTCAGGAATGATGGTCATTTTTCAAAAGAATGTAAAAACTGAGCTCACTGAAGTGGTACATGCCTGTAATCCCAGCAACTTGGGATGAGACAAGAGAATCACAAGTTTGAGACCAACCAAGGCAACTTAATGGGATCATATCTCAAAATAGAAAGAGCTGGGACTATAACTCAGTGGTTGAGTGTCCCTGGTTCAGTCCCCAGTATCACACCAGAAAAAAAGAAACTGATACTACTTTCATAGTGTTAAGAAAAGATCAAAATTTGTTATGCAATCTTTTGGGTTTTGGTACTAGGGATTGAATCCACAGGCACTTTACCACTGAACCACATCTCCAACCCTTTTAATTTTTTATTTCAAGATAGGCTCTTGCTAAGTTGTTCAGGGCCTAAGTTGCTGAGGGCTGGTCTTACACTTGCAATCCTCCTTCCTCAGCCTCCTGAGTCTCTGAAATAAAAGGCATGCACCACCATACCTGGCAGTATTGTCTTTTATTGGGTTTCAAATCTCACCTAATTCTGCCATCTAATTGTCATATTCTCACTAACAGTATTCCTTTAATTTAGCAAGAGCTCTTGAAATGCTTGTATATTAGTTGCTTACTAATATACCTATATTTTTTATTTACTAATAATAGCAATAATAGAAATAGTACCTATGGTAAGTTATTCTTATTTATTGGACAAGGAATCTAACCTGAGAAGAGTGTTCTTAACTGTAGTATTTAGTAAAGAGGGTAAATGTTAAATATTTTTAAAACTGAGGACATATATCCAGAGTCTGTTTTTCATTGCTGTTTTTTAACTCTCACAGCCAAGATATAATCAATGAGTAAAAGGAAATGGTAGCTTATTCTTGTTTGTTGAAAAGACATTTTCCCCCCTCTAGTACTGAAGGATTGAACCCTGGGGCACTCTACCACTGACCTATATCCTAGCCCTGTTTATTTATTTGTTTGTTTGCTCTGTCATTTTTTATAGGTGCATTATAGTTGTACATAATAGTGGAATTTGTTGTTATGTATTAGTACATGCACACAATGTATATTTTATTTTGAGACAGAATCTCACTAAATTGTGAAGGCCCCTGCTCAGCCTCCCTAAAGACTGGGATTGCAGGCAAGCACTACCATGCCTAGCTAAAAGTTGTTTTTAATTTTTTATTTTATTCTATTTTAGGAACTGGGGATTTAACCAGGGCAATTTACCTCTGAGCCATATCCCCAGCTCTTTTTATTTTGAAACAGGGTCTCGCTAAATTGCTTAGGGCTTTGCTAAGTTGCTGAGGTTGGCCTTGAACTTGCAATATTCTTGCCTTAGTATTCTGAGTGACTGAGATTACAGGTGTGCATCTTTGCACCCAGCTAAAAGATGTTTCTAATTTGGCAACATGGTGAGACCATGTCTTTAAAAAAAAAATGAAATGGAAAAATGTTTAAATATTAACTTTCAGGCATATTGGCTATTCTCTCCAACACAGATAATAATCTTCAGTTAGTAGACTAAGCTCTTTGAGTGAGAGATGGTATTTTATTAATCTAGTTTTATTCACTTTCACAGATTGACTTCCTAATGGTGGATCAAAGTAACTACTTGCTGAACTTAACTGGACTTAACTGTGTATCCTGTGAAGTTCTTGGGTCTTTTGTTTTTCAGAAAGCAGAACACCTAACTGATGACCATTGGTTTTTTTTAATATAGGGCATCACGAGAAAATCCAGCCATGCAGGAAAAAAAAAGGTCAAGCATCTGGCAGTTGTAAGTACATTAAGGCTATTAGCACTTTGAAACAGGAAGATTATAGTTGATTTTTTAAAAATTGGAGATAAATAGCTAAACTGAATTTTTTTTTTATAGCATGCCAACTCGGTAAGGCTGTTATTGAAGGACAAAAAAATACGCTATCGTAAGCTGCATCATGTTGGTTATGCATTTGATGGAATCCTCTCTCAAATTAAATAAAATAATGGGGGACTATTTATAAAGCTGATAATTACCTTGATCTCCATTAAATGTTACCCATTTATTGATTGTGAAAGATGTGAAGATGAGAAAGTTGGTGTTTGAGGGATTTGATTAGTGTGTATATGTGTTGAATATGAATTATATTTATGCTATGATTAAAACTTACCTTTTGGGCCTGGGACTGTGGCTCAGCTGTAGTGTAATGGCTTGGCATGTGTGAGGCACTGGGTTTGATTCTCGGCACCATGTATAAATAAAGATCTACCAACAGCTAAAAAGAAATTTTTAAAAAACCCTCTTTTAATTAGTCTGCTATGGAAACATCAAGTTTTAAATGAAAGTAATTTAAATTAAAAACTTAATGGAAACATCAAATTTTTAAAATGTGGACCTGAAAGAAATGTAAGTTGAGCTGACTTAGAAAATACATAAGATGTTTGTTAACATGGTAATGTATGTTCTAATACTTCACTATAAGACTGTTTTTAGAACTGGTGTACTAAGCTGCTGTTCACATCATGAGGCCTAATCTTGCTGCTTAACAACTACTCTTAAATTCACCAAGTAGGAGCAAGCAAAGCAATGATTTTATTTTGTTCATTCAGTAGAAGCTCCCTATACTCAAGAACTTCTCCCTTTCACATTATAGAAATTGCTAATTAAAGAACAGGTCTGGCTTCCTAAACTGTAGTTTCTTTTCCCTGAAAATATGAGTTTGGCTACAGTGTGTGACTACAAAGACTGTTTTTGCCAGTTTCTAACCTCATTGCCTTGTTAAAGCACTTTGGAATTTTCTTGAGCTTAAAAGTTTGTGGAAAATTATGAATTCTTATCACAGCAAAAGTGGTAGACATGCACTTTTTTTTTTTTTTTTTTTTTTAGTTTCAGCCGACTTTTCAGCTCCTCAAGTAATACAACAAAGAAGCCTGAACCACCTGTTAATCTGAAGTATAATGCACCCACCTCTCATGTTACTCCTTCTGTCAAGAAAAGAAGCAGCACCTTATCTCAGCTTCCTGGGGATAAGTCCAAAGCTTTTGATTTCCTTAGTGAAGAGTAAGTATTTTCTAGATGAATGGCCATGACCAAAATAAGTTAACATTTTCAAATTTTCTTGCCCCTTATTAGACCTTTTATAAGGATTCAGTTAAACCTAAAGACACTATTTCTATAACTTGTCTACCATTAATTACTTGTGGTCAGCACTTATTAAGAAAATTGCAGGGCTGGGGTTGTGGCTCAGTAGTAGTTTGCTTACCTAAAGGCCCTGGGTTCAATCCTCAGCACCACATAAAATAAATAAATTAATTAAATAAAGATATTGTGTTCAACTACAGCTAAAAAAATAAATATGTAAAACAAAAGAAAATTGCATTTCACAGTTTTCATAAGGGGAATTTTTTTGCATGCCTCAATTTTGTTGGTATGACATTGATAAATATTAATAGAAATACTAAACGTTTATTTATTTAGGTACTGGGATTTGAACCTACGGGCACTTAATCACAGAGTTACATCCCCAGCCCTTATCTATCTATTCTTCCTATCTAGCTATCTATCTTTTGGTACCAGGGATTGAACTCAAGGGCACTCGACCATTGAACCACAACCCCAGCCCTGATTTGTATTTTATTTAGAGAGAGACAGGGTATCACTGAGTTGCTTTGTCTTTTTTTTTCTTTTTCTTTTTTCCTGAGGCTGGCTTTGAACTTCACCTCCCAAGCTGCTGGGATTACAGGCATGTGCCACTGCAACCTGCACCTTTTTATTTTTTGTTTTGAGACATGGTCTCTTTAAGTTGTTTAGGGCCTTGCTAAGATATTGAAGCTAGCTTTGAACTTGCAATCCTTCTGCCTTGGCCTCCTGAGACACTGGATTGCAGGTGTGCACCACCATGCCTGGCTAAAGGTTTACATATAATTGTTTTTCTTAAATATTTGAACTTTTCTCTTACTGCTTAGATATATACAGACAAACTAATATGTTAGACAGACTAACATCTTAGAGCCCCAGTTTCTCTGACTGAAAAATGAGTCTAACATATCTCAAAGGTGTTAGGATTATATTTCATATATTTGTAAAATGCCTGATGTGTGTATGGGTAGATTTGTTAACTGTGATCAACACAGCATGAAAGAACAAACAAGGCTTGTCGTCAGAGCAAATCCCATTTATTGAGGAACAGCTCTGCATATTTATAGAGCCAGGGGTGGTTTGACAGTTGGCATGGGGTGCTTTTTGATTGGAGGGTAAGGATCAGGTGAGCCAGCAGGGCTAGTCTGATTGGTGGGTAGGATCAGGTGAGCCAGCAGGGCTCTGATTGGTGGGTAAGGATCATGTGAGCCAGCAGAGCTCTGATTGGTGGGTAAGGATCATGTGAGCCAGCAGGGCTCACCATTAGATGGCTCTTCTTGGGGGATGGGGAAGTTAGTCTTTGGAGCTGGGGCAACTCCCAACATTCCCCCTCTTTGTTATTAAATGAGAATGGGTGTCAACTCATTCTGGCTGCTTCCTGCTGAAATGGGGCAGTGTGGGAGAAAGAGGAAGGAAGTAAGGAGCCCCCACAGGTATCAACAAAGGTTCCTTGCCACCACAGATCCATGATGACATCAGTCCATTCTGCATAGGTCTCGACTGGAGGTATCATCAGTAGCCAGGAGTTGGTAATTCCTGAGAAGAAGCTGGTTAAAAGCTTGATTAGAAATTTTACCCACCTGAGTCTGAATGAACTTTATGATAGGGGGAAGGAACAGGCACAGGGAGTTTTTATAGCCCAAATCTAATGGGGTCTCTGGGTCTGCAAGCTGCCTTGTTGGCCCAAGAGGGGTTAAGTGTTCAACCCGGGAGGCTTGGGCATTTGGGCTTGAAGCAAACAGGTGATATAGAATCAGACAGAGGGTTTGAGAGGTCAGCTAACTTTGTTTGGCATGCCCTGCAGGCCCTGCAGACCAGCCTGTCCTGCACCTAACACCCTCAATTCCACTCTTCATTCCTAGTCCAATCTAGCTCCCTCTCCTCTCTATTAAGGCTGCTCTTCAAACTTTCTCCTACCTGGGTGTACCAGCTACCATATTTTTCTTTGAGAGCAGTCAGATCTCTCCAGGTTTTTATGTGAAACACCTCAACTTTAAATACTGATACTTGGAATTCTTATGAAACTGGGAGGCCCTCTGGAGCCCTGTGTAAACTTGAAGGTGGACATACTAAGTGCATGCTATCACATTTGGCATAGATGCTTCAGCTAACCACTAGTCTGAGCAGCGAGTCTCAGTGGTACTTATGTACACTCCAGCTACCATCAGAAGATGGTGACTTCTTCCCATGGGAACTTAAAACTGAACTCAGACATGCACACACATACACATAGGAAAAGCAGAAACTCTATCATTAAAGCCTGTAACTAGCTCAAGACTCCAAAGCTCCTCACTCTTCTATTGGCAAACGGATAGTACCCAAAGAAGCACCTTGATTTTTCAGAAGCAGGGCATGTGGATCACCATAACAGGGCAACCTCCACACAGGATGGAGAAGTTGAGGAAAGGAAGGATTTAGAGAGCACTTCAGATAGGGGAAGACAGAGTGACGATAGAGCAGGTGGGCTGGACCAGAGCACACTCAATGCCTCACCCAAGGAGAGCTAAAGTTGCCTCCCAGGACAGTCATGGACTCACTGAAGATAACTCAGGTAGGGGTAGATATAAACAAAAGGAAGAAACAACTTCACCAGGAACCCAGGCATGGGAAAGCTGTTGGAGGGTGGTGATGGGAACACCAGCATGTGCACATGCCTAAGCTTACGTGCCAACTATGTGCAGGGTCCTGCACACCAGTTACATCCCAATGAAACTGGGAGGGTAAATAAAACACACATGTTTCTCCTTAGGCCCATAAGGCAACTGGTAAAGTGCTCTCTTATGATCACACTTATTCAGGGGTCACCATGCTCTGGACACCTAAGTGGTTTGTCAGAAGGACAACACACAACGGCCAGATTCAAGCAAGTGTGGGGGGATCTGGCTGGAGGAGGCCCTTAGGGTCACTTGCCTTGAATCCTCAACATAGGGCAAAGAGAGGACCCAAGAGGGGCCAGAAATGAGGAGGAGCATTGACAAGAGTACTTAATGACAGGTGACGATCATTAGCTCTTCTGATGAAGGTGTAGGAGGGCCAGGCTTAAGTCTGGAAATCATGGGGTAAGTTGGTTATTAGGTTGTTTGAGTTTGGCTGCTGAGGGTGTGCACATAATCACCTGAGCAGGGCCCTTCCATTTTGGTTTTAGAGGGGGCTTTTCCCCCCTAAAACCAAAGTGGGCAATAAGGGACCGATTGGAAGCCTGGGGGTGGTAAGGGCAATGGAAATGCCAAGGGAGTGATAGCACGTGAGCTAGTCCCTGAGTTATCTCTGAGGTGAAGTCTGGGCCATTATCTGATTAGATAGAAGTGGGCATCCCAAAACGGGGGATTATGTGAGTAAGCAATAGATCAACTATAGTAGAGGCCCGTTTATTGGAAGTGGGAAAGGCTTCAACCCATCCCGAAAAAGTATCTACCAATACAAGAAGATGTTTTTTACTCGGAGCATGTTGGTGAAATCAATCTGCCAGTCTGCAGCTGGGGTATGACCGCGGGCCTGATGAGAAGGGAAATGTTTAGGTTTTAATGGAGTATTGGTATTGGTTTTCTGGCAGATCTGACAAGCGGAAGTGATCTGTTGTAGGAGAGTCTTATCACGCAGGAAAGGGTGAAAAAGGAATGAAGGGAAGTAGTAAGACTCTGTGGAATAGAATGGAATAGAGAGTGAAGAAACTGAGTTGTTGGGGATCTTTGGGCCGATCCCCGGTGGTTATGAAGAGTAGCGGAGAGGAGGTAAAGCTCTGTAGGGCGGCTGATTGAGCCGCTTGATCAGCCTTGGAATTCCCCATAGTAGTAAAGGAGGAGTCAGTTTAGTGGGCCTTGCAATGGATTGTTCCCAGTTAGGAAGGCAGCCTGGAGGCTTGTAGTAGGCCAGAAATAAGTGTGGAATTAATGACTGCCGTCCCTCTGGTGGTCAATAGCCCCCTTTTTTTCCAAATGGCTGCGTGGGAGATCAGGATATGGAAGACGTATTATATAGGGAGAGAGTTTTTCCTCTGCTAGCTCGCATGCCCTTGTGACAGCTATGAGTTCAGCTTGGTGGTTGGTGGTATTGGGTGGGAGAGGTTTTTGCCTCTATGATGGATGAGAGGGAAACAATAGCATACCCTGCTACTTTAACCCCTTTGTATATAAAGGAGCTACCATCTGAGAACCAGATGAGGTCCAAAGAGGGCAGGGGTCCCTCAGAAATGGTGGTAGGGCAGGGTAAAATTGTCTCTAATACCTCCAGGCATTTGTGGACGGGATATTGTGAGTGAGAAGATGGGAAGAGGGAGGCAGGGTTTAATGGAGAGCAGGGTTGAAAAGAGATGGAGGGATTTTCAAGGAGGGATAGAACCCTGGAAGGAGGAAATGACTGTAGCCCCCTTGTAAGTGAGAAAATCCTTTAATGGTGAGGAGATGAGATGGTTATCAGGGAGCCAAAGATAAGCTTGTGTGCTTCTTTCAGGAGGTCATGGGCCGCTGCTAGGGCTCTGAGGCATGAAGGGCTTCCCTACCACTGAGAGTAGGGGTTCATCTTGGGGGCCCTTGGCCAGATTCCAGGCCCTGAAGTACCCAGCCAAACCCAAGAAGGAGAGTCATCTTTGGTCTTTGGTGTAGGTATAGACACAATAATGACCTTTTTCCCTTGAGAGACAGAGAACCCTAGATACATGCTATTTGGGCCTTTTGTGGAGAGGCCCAATATCCCTTTAAGGCCAAGAAATTAAGTAGGAGAACTCTGTCATCTGTTGAGTGCCCTTTGGACAGCTAGAAGAATTTGTTTGCAAGAGGTGCAGAGAGCAGGATTGGATCAGAGCAAGAAGAAAGCCTGGAAGAGATCTCTTAGAATGGAGGGATCCAGGGACCCAAAAAGAGGTCATCTGCTTTGGTTGTCTAAGGGATAAGTGGGCCAGACCTGAGTGCTATATTTGATCCAAGAGGCATTGTAGGGGAGAGTCAACCAGCAGAGAGGACACATTACCCATGTAAGGAGGACACAAGAGAAGGAGGAAACTGATTTATTGGCAAAAAGGGTGTCCCCGCTAAGCCAAAAAATCAGGAGTGCCTAAGTGGCAGGTTCGAGCTGCAGAGATTGGTCGTCACCGAATCCTGACAATCGAAGCTCTCATCTTGGATGGAGCCAGAGTCTTGGGAGACCTTGGCCAAGGCTTTTCGGGACCCCTCCTGGAGAGGCCAGATACTCCCAGGGCCAGAAAGAAGAGAGAGGAAGGGGAAGATAAGTGTCTCTCTAGTGGCCGAGTCTTAAATTGAGAGGACTAGGACTTTCGAATCTGCCCAAGGAAGGAGTCCCTGAGCCTTAAAGGCTGTGGGGGGGATGCTTTCCTCTCCGCCCGTGGGCAAAGAGATTTGCCAGACGATAATCAACATATTGCAAGAGGGTGGATTTGGGGCACTGGGGGGTGAAAAGATTGGAGGTCAGAGGCCAAGGTTTGTCCAAAGAGGTGTGGACTATCTCAAAATTCCTGAGGAAGGACAGTCCAAGTAAAAGGCAAAATGATATCCTTTAAATCTATGACAGAGAAGTGGGTGGCAGTGTAGAGGATCTGAGACAGCAGAGTGTATGAGTTGGGAACCAAAGGATGTAGGCCCAGAAGAACTTTATGGGCCTAATGGAAGTGTTGATGAGTCGTAGGTAGGACCTATTGGGGTTTTTTTACCGCTAGTATGAGAGTAAGGGGAATGAGCAGGGTGGAGGTACCCCTTGCTAAGAAGGTCCTGAATAATCAGGAAATGGTGGAGGGGGTGTGGGTATCCCATACAATCGGATCAACTAGGTTAGTATGGTATTTCATGTCAGCCTCATAAATGGAGCAGAATGGCCAGTTTTCTGCCAAAAGGGCCAGAAAAGATGAACAGGTCGATTCTGGGGCCTGACTGGAGCCCGTATATTGATTGTTGTATTGAATTTAGAGAGAATATCTCAGCCAAGCAAAGGAATTTGACATTTGGGGCATAATAGGAACATCTGAGAGGTTGGGAAGTTGTCTGTGGAACAGAGTAATAGGGGTCTTTCTTGGATAGATGGTCTTTCCTCCTACCCTGACAATAGGAGAGGTGGATGGCACTGTTTGCCCCCAGAATTCTGTCAGGACTGAGAAGGTAGCTCTGGTATCAAGGAGAAAGTTAACCTTGCACCTATCCACCTGAATCCGCACCCTGGGTTTCTGTCTATTGATCGTTATGGCCAGGGACAAGGACCCAAGGCACTGTCAGTTGATTGCCATGCCCAGAAGGTCGGAGGGTTCCCTGGCCATAGGCCTCCTACGAGATCTAGAACAGTCAGAGCCCCAATGACCTTGTTGTTGACATTTAGGGCATGGGGTACACAGAGTGCATGGTGCAGGACATGCCCTGGCCCAATGTCCCTCCTTGCCACACTTGAAGCAGGCGCCCAGGGGGGTTTTCAGTGATGGGCGGCGACCCAAGGAAGCACCCTACAGGACCTGGGCGAGCATCTGAAATTTCTCAGTCTTGGGGGTGGCAGGGTCTTGTTTGAGCTTTTTTAGTTTGGCCCAGATGTCGGGGTAGTTCTGCCAGAGGAAATATGTCATAAGGACATGACGGCCATCTGGGGTTTTGGGAGTCTGATCTGGGGGCAGCAAGTGGCCCCGGAGGGTGATTGGGATTAACTTGGTGAGTTTTATTCGCATGGGCTCTGGCAAGTTCCCAGACTCTGGTACGTTCCTCAAGAAGGAGAATGTTAGCCAATAACATATAAGTGAGGCTATAAGCCTGGAGGGCCCTTTTGAAACTCTCTTTTGTGGTGAATGAGCCCATCCTTTGCCCAAGTTGCATGGGGTCATTCATAGAGAACGGGACATGTACCTGGATAATGCCCTCAGGTCCAGCAACCTCTCAAAGGGGCCATGGTTTGTGGGACTAGGGGCGGGACCTAGTTTGGGGGGAACTAAAGATGTCAGCTGAGTCAGGGGGAACACCTGAGGGGGTAGACAGAGCCAATGGGGGAGGTCGGTAGGGAGGAGGTTCATCTGCCGGATAGGTAGGGGTGAGAATGAAGAAGAGAAAAAGCCTCAACATAGGGGAACTCCTTCCACTTTTTCGAGCGCCCACAGAAGTTAAACAGATCTCTGAGAATTGCGGGATCTAGGGATCCTCCTGGGGGCCATTGACTTTGATTGTCTAACTGATAGTAAGGCCAATCTTATGTGCAGAATTTAATAAGGGGGGAGTCTGCAGGGAGGGAAGAAGAGGCCCCCATAGGTCAGGAGAGGGACAAGGGTGGTTGAGAGAGGGAGGGGGGAGGGGAGTGCCTGTTCTTCCACCCCTCAGTACCTCCCACTCATGAACCGGGTTCCAGAGAGTCCACCATGACCATGAAGGTCGTGGTGGGGTGCGTTCTGTCCTCCAGATTGGGCGTCAGAGGTTTGTCGGTCGATCACAGTCAAATCCCCTGCGTAACCCATCTGAAGTTGGATACCCAATAGGGGAACTCACCTACTAAAGATCTGGTGTTGTAAACAGCACTCGAAAGAGTAGACCAGGACGGCAAGCCTTGAGAGAGGGGGCCCTTGAGCAGCAAGGCATTTCCCCTCTTTGGTTTCGGCACCAATGAAAGAACGAACAAGGCTTGTCATCGGAGCCAATGCCCGTTTATTGAGGAACAGCTCTGCATATTTATAGAGCCAGGGGTGGTTTGACAGTTGGCATGGGGTGCTTTTTGATTGGAGGGTAAGGATCATGTGAGCCAGCAGGGCTCACCATTAGACGGCTCTTCTTGGGGGATGGGGAAGTTAGTCTTTGGAGCCAGGGTGATTCCCAACACAGCAAGTCACTTCACAAAAAATTTTAATGGCCTAAAGAAGAGAAATTGTTTTCAGAATTATTGTTATATTTTATTCCATAGTGCCAAAGCTTACTCAAGTCTGTTGGCATTTTTTCTTCTGAAAGAAATTAGAGGAATCTAAATTTAATCTATATTATCTTCCTGAGCAGTTTTTGACTTAGTGATCTTTTAGTCACTTGTAGAATATCCTCAGTAAAAGTTTATTGAATAAACAACAACAAAAATAGAAGAGCCAAAATTACTTAGAAATTTATTCCTTTTATATGGCCAGCATCTATAACCTGATAGAAGTTTGATGGCTAATGATCCAGTATAATAGGCTGCTTACTAACCCTTTAAAGCTTTACTACACAAATATAAAAGGACCAGTATAACTTTTTTTTTTTTAAATGCAGTGCTAGGGATTAAACCCAGTTCCTCACATATGCTAGGAAGTATGACACTTTTGAAAGAGCTATTGTAGTCAGAAAAAATCAAATAATTTTTGTTGTTTGTCTAATAACATTTACTTAATTTAAATAGGAAATCTCTTCCTTTTAGAACTGAAGCTAGTTTAGCCTCTCGCAGAGAACAAAAGAGAGAACAGTACCGTCAGGTAAAGGCACATGTTCAGAAGGAAGATGGTCGAGTGCAAGCTTTTGGCTGGAGTCTGCCTCAGAAGTATAAACAGGTAAGTTGCAAAATTCTGTGAGTGATAGAAGTGTACTTGGGTGTGAAGAATTTGGAATACGTATCACAGACCTGTTCATTTCTTGCTGCGTAGACTTGGCAAGCATGTAGGGACGTGATGAGGGTTTTCAGGTTATTTTGTAGTGCCCTAGAATGCAAATGAAATACCTGAGTCTGAGAAGAGGTGTGGTCAAAAAAGGGTTCGAAGAATGTGGAACTTAAGGTTCTGCCTTAACTAGAATAAGCTGTTTTAATGCTTGGAGATTTTATTTATTTTTATTTTTATTATTTTATTTTTTTGTAGTAGTGGGAATTGAACCTAGGGTACTCTATTACTGAGCTACATCCCCAGTCTTTTTTCAGACAGGGTCTCACTAAATTGCTGAGACTGGCCTTGAACTTGGAATTTTCTTGCCCTAGCCTCCTGAGTAACTGGATTATAATCATGCTCCGCTGCACCTGACTTGAAGATTTTCTTTTTTAAAAGAACAATATTTGGGGGCCAGGGTCAGTGGTAGAGTGCTTGCCTAGCATGCATGGGGCACTGGGTTCAGTCCTCAGCACACATAAAAATAAAATATTGTGTCCACCTAAAACTAAAGAACAAATTTTTAAAAAAATATTTTTTAAAAAGTGTTTGTTGTTTAAAAAGTGTAAGAAGTCAATGGCGTCCAGCCTTTCAAATTAACTAAAGCCTAGTTCAGGTTTTCAAGAATTTTATCTACTTCATATTCCATACCCCTAAGAGACTCAGCACATTTGTATATACACATGTACACACATGTGTATATATATGAAAATTAGTGCCTTTGTTCTGAGCACTAATAGTATCCTAGTGTCCTGTTTATTTCTTTTAATTGCAACTTGATTTTCTGTTGACTTTTCAAATAAGAATAACAAAATGAACCTGAATTTGATTTCAGGGAGCAAATGTATAACAGCATTGCCTGCCCATGTCTCAGTGATTCTATTAGAAGTTTACTTTTGATAAGACTTACTAATTTGTTCCTTCCCCCACCCCATTAGGTAACAAATGGTCAAGGGGAAAATAAGATGAAAAATTTGCCTGTGCCTGTCTATCTCAGACCTCTAGATGAAAAAGATGCATCCATGAAGGTAAGCTAATTGTGAAGCTAAAGCAGGTATTCCCTAAACTTTAGATAGATTTTCTTTCCTCATAAAACCAGAAAAGTTTAAACACTGCCTCTGCAGTGAGATTATTATTCATTTTGTCGTCTTAGAGTGTATTAAATATCTAATTTACCACCCTTAGTTGTTTTAAGAAAAGGAACCACTTTAAACATTTTTAGAGAGAAAATTACAATAATACCTTTTTTTTTTTTTTTTTTTTCTGAGAAGCTGTGGTGTGCTGTTGGAGTCAATTTATCTGGTGGGAAGACCAGAGATGGTGGTTCTGTTGTTGGAGCAAGTGTATTTTACAAAGATGTTGCTGGTTTGGATACTGAAGGCAGCAAACAGCGAAGTGCATCTCAGAGTAGTTTAGATAAGTTAGATCAGGAACTTAAGGTAAGTGTTTACGAAACTATTAGTTTAGCTTTTTGATCCAAAATTTACTTCTGGGTACAAGTTTTTTTAAGTTGTGGTTACTATGCCCTTCCTTACCATCCCCCATTACCCTTTTAAAACCAATTTTTTTTGAGGTGTTATTCATATATAATCAAGCATATCCTTGAAATGACTATGGTCCAAAGAGTTTTGCCAAAAGTATACACCTATGCAACCACCACTACAATCAAGATATAAAGTATTTTAATCATTGATCCACTTTCACAACTACTTTTTAGTCTAGTAATTGATACTGACAAGTGGTTGTATTTTTACCTTCCCAAATTACCTGGAAATAAATTTGAAATAATATTACCTTTTATTGTAATAGCACAGCTTTATGAATATTTGCACATATTTATGATCTTAAACATTCATTCTCTTCATTTTGCCTACTTAGGAACAGCAGAAGGAGTTAAAAAGTCATGAAGAATTATCCAGTCAAGTCTGGATCTGTACCAGCACTCATTCAGCTACAAAAGTTATCATCATTGATGCTATTCAACCAGGCAACATCCTTGACAGTTTCACTGTTTGCAACTCTCACGTTCTTTGCATTGCAAGTGTCCCAGGTAAGAATGAGTCTTGTATCTCTCTTCTCTTCCCTCTCTTCCCATTCTCCACACTTGCTTCCAGGCAGGATTGCATTTGGCTGCCTAGCTCTCATGGAGTTCTAGTTGGGGAAAACCAAAAATTAACTAGAAACTCTTGAATAAACAAGATATTTTCAGATAGTGAAAATACTGTGAAGAAAATGAAATATGAGAAGATAAATGGGAGTCAAAGGACAGGGTGCTATTTATATTAAATAATAAAGGAAGGTGTTCTAATATTCTGAATTAAATATATGATGTTAAAGACATTTGTTAAAAAATTTAGAAGGGGGCCTGAGGTTGTGGCTCAGTGGTATAGAGTGCTTGTCTGGCATTTGTGAGGCCCTGGGTTCTATCCCCAGCACTACATAAAAAAAATAAACAAATAAAATAAAGGTTTAAATTTAAAAAAAAAAAATTAAAAGGGCTGGGTGCAGTCACACACACCCTGTAATCCCAGTGGCTCAGGAGGCTGAGGCAGAATTCAAAGTCAGCTTCAGGCACTTAGTTAGACCCTGAGCAACTCAGCAAAGACCATGTCTCTAAATAAAATATTAAAAAGAGCTGGGAATGTGGGTAAATGCCCTTGGGTTCAATCCCTGGTACCCAATAAATAAGTAAATTTAAAAAAATAAAAAGTCCATAACATCCTTACAATGAGACCCTGTTTCAACAAAAAAGATAAAAAGGTCAGGGGATGTAGGTCAGTGGTAAAGCACACCTGGTTCAATCCCCAGTATTAAAAAAAAAAAAAATCTGGGGCTGGGGTTGTGGCTCAGAGGTAGAGCGCTCACCTGTCATGCATAGGGCACTGGGTTCCATCCTCAGCACCACATAACAATAAAATGAAGATGTTGTGTCCACCTATAACTTAAAAAAAAAAAAATATATATATATATATATATATATATATATCTGGTATGATGGAAAATCTAGAAATAGATAATAATGATAGCTACACAACATTGTGAATGTAAATAATGTCACTGACTTGTATTTTTTTTGTGGGGAGTGCTACTGGGAATTGAAAACAGGGGTACTTGACCACTAAACCACATCCCCAGCCCTATTTTGTGTTTTATTTAGAGACAGGGTCTCACTGAGTTACTTAGCACCTTGCTTTTGCTGAGGCTGGCTTTGAACTCAGGATCCTCCTGCCTCACTCTCCCAAGCCACTGGGATTACAGGTGTGTGTCATTGCTCCTGGTTGTACTTTTCATTATAATTAAATTTTTGGTATTACATGAATAAAAAAATCTTCTAAATAAAGCGGAGAAGGTTTGTTTTTATTTTGTAAATGCTTAATTTTTTAATGTATTAATCTCTTAAGGCACTATGTATATATACTTAGGGACATTTATTTATTTCTTTTTTTTCTTTTTAGTACTGGGGATTGAACTAAGGACACTGAGTCACATCCCAAGCCCATTTCATTTTTTATTTTGAGACAGGGTCTTGCTAAGTTGCTTAGGGCCTGACTGAGTTGCTGAGGCTGGCTTTGAACTTGTGATTCTCCTGCTTCAGCCTCCTGAGTATCTGGGATTATAGGCGTATATCACAGCATCCAGCAGGGTTTTAATTTTTAATAGTAATAGATAATCCATATTTCAAATAGTAATCTCATTCATTTAAAAAAAACCTTTTAAAAATTTTTTTGCTGGCTTGATGTCACATACTGTCAGACTGTTTTAAACTTCACATGGCTGGTATGGATTTAATTAAGAACATGACATTTTTGGGGCTGGGGATGTGGCTCAAGTGGTAGCGCGCTTGCCTGGCATGCTCGGGGCGCTGGGTTCGATCCTCAGCACCACATAAAAAGTAAAAATAAAGATGTCGTGTCCACCGAAAACTAAAAATATATATGTATATATATATATATATGTATATATATATATATATACATATATATATATTAAAAAATTCTCTCTCTCTCTAAAAAAAAGAACATGACATTTCATGTTTTTTATGTGCACTCGCCTTAATAGCTATATTTTTATATTTTTAAATTTTCATTAGTTTTAGCTATATTATTTTACTTTTTCAGTCAATTTCCTATTTTTAATGCTACCAGTTTGGCAATGTTATTTAAGTCCCTATATCACCTGCACATTTTCTTTTTTTTTTTTTAATGTGAATAAATAGAGTATTTTTTTTTTCTTAAACCACTATTGAAAATTTTTTTTTTATTGGTTGTTCAAAACATTACAAAGCTCTTGACATATCATGTTTCATACATTAGATTCAAGTTGGTTATGAACTCCCATTTTTACCCCAAATACAGATTGCAGAATCACATCGGTTACACATCCACAT